CCAATCTTCAAGTGTATACTTCTGTTGTCCTTGGACGAACACGTAGGATGGTCTATTGGGTAAAACGTTTATTCGACCCGCCCTAGGTCTGGGTTCGGGCCGAGTAATGAGTAAAGTGGCACCCCTCAATGTTGTGACTGTCATTATACGTAAACATTCACCCATACAGGATATATACTCCTCACAAAAATTAAGCAACACTTTTTTTCAGTATAATATCTTTATCAATCTCGAAAGCGATTTTTGCCGACATAGTACTGAGAGGTAAATATTCAAAGAATACATACCTTTAGTGACTGTCAAATTGATTTATCTGATAACATTGACAGCATCACCCGAACACAACCACCATCAGAAACAACATGCGAAATGTGTGGCATGAATGTGCTCCACTCTTCACACATGCACCCTGATTGGTGTAAACCTACCTGTAATTATTCCTCTGGTACAACAAGCGGGTCTCACTTCATTTTTATGGATGATAATGCCCGTCGATGGATGATAATGCCCGAGAAAGAGTTGTTAACGATTTTGTTTAGATCAACAACATCACACATATGGACTGGCCTGCAAGGTCACTTGATCTGAATCCCATTTAACATGCTTGGGACATTATTGGAGGTCGTGTTTACGGTGTCCATGTTCACCCCCAGACTCTGGATGACCTTGAGCAGGCGTTACAGAGATAATGGCAGAACATTCCACAACAGCAACTTTAAAGGCTCATTTGGTCAATGCAAAGACGTGTAGAAGCTTGCATTTGTGCTCATAGTGGTCATACGCGTTACTGAACACTGCTTCACTGTCCAAAACTGACTTGAACCTTAATGTTAACATTTTGCTCCATCAATGCAGCACATTTTGCACGACTGTTTCGCGGGTACATGCTTTTGATGATTTGTAAGTCTATTGTTGCTCAGTGCCATTTCATTTCATTTTGTTAATCGTGTGTACATATGTTTCACCTTTCTATTGCATCATTCCATGATTTGCAATTTCAACAAATGAAAATGTAATGAGACTACAAATTTGTGTTGCTTAACTTTTTGTGAGGAGTATATGTTTTATGTACCCCAACGTGATTTTGCGCCATTCGTGTCGGTAGCCTTGTGGAACTTGTATTCTTGGAATAGTAAGGCAATGTATATGAGAGATAGAAGCATCATTAATATGAAAGATACGGTACCCATTGTGATATTATATTCAGTGGTTATATTTAATTCCATGACATTTCAGCTATATGTTTCACAATATAAATTCGGTTAGGTTGAACAGTCTCAGGGCCCTGTTCAACCATGGGATCTCAGGGCGATGTTCAACCATGTGATCTCAGGGCGATGTTCAACAATCTCAGGGCGGTGTTCAACCATGTGATCTCAGGGCCCTGTTCAACCATGTGATCTCAGGGCGATGTTCAACAATCTCAGGGCGGTGTTCAACCATGTGATCTCAGGGCGATGTTCAACAATGTGATCAGGGCGATGTTCAACCATGTGATCTCAGGGCGATGTTCAACCATTTGATCTCAGGGCGATGTTCAACAATCTCATGGCGATGTTCAACCATGTGATCTCAGGGCGATGTTCAACCATGTGATCTCAGGGCGATGTTCAACAATGTGATCTCAGGGCGATGTTCAACCATGTGATCTCAGGGCGATGTTCAACAATGTGATCAGGGCGGTGTTCAACAATGTGATCTCAGGGCCCTGTTCACCATGTGATATCAGGGCGATGTTCAACAATGTGATCTCAGGGCGGTGTTCAACAATGTGATCAGGGCGGTGTTCAACAATGTGATCAGGGCGGTGTTCAACAATGTGATGTCGGGACCATGTTCAACAATGTGATCAGGGCGGTGTTCAACAATGTGATCTCAGGGCGGTGTTCCCTATGTGACTGACCGAGGTTCACCATACATCTCGTCACTATCACACTACCCAGTTTACCAATAGGTTGATCCCGATATCAGCATCGGCTTCCCGGGTTCAAGAATAGTATTCAATCAACTAAAATAATAGAAGATTGATTGGAAGGACTAAACGACCAAGAACCGAACGCAGTCTCCATAATCGAACACAAACGAAAGTGAAACGTTATTGTCCCGAGTCTTTTTTTAAAACAATAAGCACTTAAAGTAATAGTTTTTGGTTTTGTTAACTTATAAGAGGTTTCACGGATCAATATCGACATCAAATCGATGGTGATGATCTAATCACCAGTCATAATAATAACCGATCCCCAACCGTCCTTGAAACGGAAGCTATTGGAGCGTAACTCTAAGTATAACAAGTTGAACTTTTTGTGTCCTTAATCTATAATGAAACGTAGCACAGAACAGTAGCCTAGGGACAATCCGCTCTGGCAGTTTTGTAAAGCGTTCAATGATAAAACCCTTTATAAAACTGCCTTCAAGTCTTGACAGTTAATGCTGATCGTGTTAGATATGTTTACTGCTTTAAATGGTTGACTACAGCTCAAAATATTTGTTTGCAAGTTGCTTCATAACTCCTGTCGTTATCGTCGTTATAGCATGCCAATCAGCATTACATGCCTAAGAAGGCATAGAACTGAATGGGATATGGGACTTGAATGGGCGATGATTTATGATTGTTATAAAAAGATCAAATATCAAATATCATTAAACACAAGCTGACGTGCAACGTGCTGTAACTGTTTGTTTGTTTAACGCTGTATTCAGCAATATTCCAGCTGTATGGCGGCGGTCTGTACCTAATCGAATCTGGACTAGACAACCCAGTGATCAACACCATGAGCATCGATCTATGGAATTGACGTAGCGTTATACTCAAAGGCCGGGGTGCAAACATCCAAAAAAAACATGGGTTTCTAAAAAGTCTCCCATTGGCTACTCCTCAGCAGTGTAGACTTAGTAATGCTTAGTCTCTGAATATATATAATATTGATAGTAACAAACAAGCCTATTTAAAATGAAAAGGGGCCCTAGGGAGACCAGAGATTCAGAACCTGAGGAAATCTAGACTTGCTTCATTTAGGGCCTTAGCACTGCAGAGAGGGCTTGGCAGTAGGGAAAATAATGTGGTTCAGGGACTGTGAGACAGACTAGTTATCTGTCCATGAGTGACAGGACTGTAACGGCTATGGGGGCCTGGAAAGAGCCTGGTGATGTCTAGCCTTGGAATTTACTACTAGAATAAACATGTGCCTTTTTGTAAACGTCCCATCTACCCTTTCACTACATATTTTGATGACTAAAGAGATTATTATTATTACTTATTTATTTTTATTCACTTCAGTTGGATACAAACGTATCGAGATTAATTTGATTAGCATATATTAAATTTCAAATGTTACTTATTTTCTGAAAACAAAATCTTCAACATGGTGATGTAAGCATCAAATAAGTGTACAGCCCTAGCCTGCACAGCCTGGGGTCAGGGGAGTTGGGAGGGGGTAATTTTCACAACCTGTCTGAAATATAACACCCTGAATGAAACTTTCAGCCAACTCGCAGGCTTGTTTCTATGGAAACGCACCTCCTTTGGCCACCTGACTGACACAGTGGGAAATTCAAATCTGGATTTGAAAAAGAGAAATATATTTAATAATGTATGTTTTGTAGGCTGCCTGCATACATACATTTTATAGTGAGCCTTCATAACATACTTCTTTACACCATGGCTTAATGTCATCATGAACCGGTAAGTTAATTTTGTGATATTTCATGGAATGTACTTGAATACTGCATTGTTTTGCATCGAAAGACAAGTTTGACAAGGGAAGGAGGCCACACTCCATCTGTGTATAGGTTTGAACCCCGGCCTTTAACTCACAGGATTCCGGAGAGTTTCTCACCACGTGTGTTCTAAAACCAGTGAAATATGCCTCTGTCCACCTTGCACCGAATGGGTACCCGGTAGAATGGGATAGTAATATGCCAGCTAAGTTTCTAGAGTCTCAGGGGCTTATAATAATTAGTCTAAAACAGTTAACAGGTCTTAACAATCTATGCTCATTGTATGCTGTTTTAACTAAAATTCCCGACCGAAAATCGTCACTGACAAGTCATGCATTGGTAATCGAAAGGGCCCCGTGGCAACTATTGTACATGCCAGTTAGAGTTATTTCCCATTATTATAGAAACGTGAATAAAATCAAAACGAGTCCAACGACTCCGTATTAAGGATAGAGGTTATAAATTCGATAATTCTTGTCGCCGTGTTACATAATGTAAACAAAACACGTTGTGCAACGACTCTGAAAATCTATATATTGTATATCGCTCGTTAGACTGAACGTTAATAAAACAATTACATTCCCCGATGTGTACCCAAACTCAACAAATATTGACATTTTCTTTTTGATGCCAACCATTGTTAAAGGAATGGTGTTCAACAGGAAAAATACAAAAGACATGTTTATTTTATAGAAAACACTTTATTCGTCAATGTAGAAAATATTGAGTACAAAACATGCCCTTTGGTTTGCGTAATGGATTAACGACTACAATGGCAGCGAGACCACGTGTCCCACTACCTTAGCACTGGCCCCGGGGGTGGGGGAGATACATGAAGCCACGCTGTGTCACCATGTACAGCTCTATAAAATGTCGGCCAGGTATGAGATGGTTCGTGTAAAAACCTTCATGATATGAACCATACCAGATAAAAAAAGAACATCCATTCTTTCTTATTAATATGGTTAATCAGCCATGGGATATTAACTATATTAATATGAAAAAATCGGTGTTCTTCAATTTGTTTTGAGTAGAATATATTAAGTGAATCAGGTGCATCCCCAGTGTATCTCTAGAATTTCCACCAGGCGACATTTATCTTGCATGGTGTTGTAGAAAATGCTATTTTTATTTTATTCACAAGGAGCACCTTTCACATCTGGAAGTCCTGTCATTGTCTATATAAGAATACTAGCAACAAATAGCACGCTGGTACTCGGCGACATAGACCGTAAAACTCTTAAAATTTTCAAATTTCGGCAATCCGAAAACGTACCTTTTAGGGCAATCTGTTCTTACAGGGGCCATCTTACTGAGATGGAAATAGGTACATTGGAGTTGGTCTACTGTATAACCTATTTGGCTCTACCTTTTTTAAGAACACAAAATAAAGGAAGTGCTTTAATTACAGTGCTCCCCTGACAAGCTTAGATACACAAACCCGAAGTGAATAAACAACATCATTACTATTGTTTTAGAACAGATAAAATTCGTGTAGCAATCGCTGGTCATAGCTTATAGTTTAGTCAGTTGGATACACCTACTGGTACAGATCTAGGATTCCGTTGGTAGTTTTATGGGATATTTATCCAGCTTGTTCTCGTCCAACATATTTGTGTAAAAAGTAGCCGGCAATAGTTCCTTACAAAAAGTGTCAGACATACCATCTCTTATTTTGGCCTTACCTAGTGAATCGTTAAAAACACTGGCATCTAAAGTTCTGATTGGAACAATTAAAATGATTTTCTTATATCATCAAACAGCCCTCGCTATACATAAAAACAAGAGAGGCGTTTGTACAAAACGCATAAAAGACGTATTTCTTCAAATCCGAACTTCCGATTCTTAAAACAACCCTATCTTCACCGTGGCCTCACACGACATGACACTGCTACAGTCCGACTATGGTACACTATGTTAAATACATCTAGTACTAAACAACAGATAATACACATATGATACACATAAAACGATGACTCGCATTTCCTATGAAGCATATTGACTATTGAGCATCTCATGTCTCTTGTCCCGGCTTAAGAGACGTGAACAGAAAAGTTGTACCTGGTCTGAAAGTGCTGACTCCACAAATAGTATCCACGCCATTATAACAGTATATTGTTTGAGCAATTCAATGAAAAGATCCATAATGTGGTGTAATGATCAAGGGGCATATTTCCTGAAGTCTATATTCTAACATAGTGGACTTACAGGGAAGAACGTAGGCGTTGTTAAAGCCATTAAAGGGTCTGCGGGATAGATGCAAGGAGTTATTAAGCATGGGTTGTGGTTATACATAGCAGTCGACTCGATACAGTCAATATATACCCTATATACACGAGTACTTTGGCACATTAGAACACTGAGAGTATTATCGAGCATCCCCAATAGCACCATGGTTTTTCCGACCGCTCAGATCACATAAGCGACACTCATTCCCAAGATTTTGTTCATTCATTGCTGCTGACATTTCACTTCCGCTTTTTCAAGGCCACTTCGTTGCACCTTCTTGGGTCAATATCGTCTGGGCATGCGCAGGTTCGCCCTCCGCTTGGTGATGGGAGACAGAGGTAACGACATCCGCCGTTGTTAACTGCGCAGCCATTGCTCACTGGAACGTAAAGATGTTTGGATTAACTTTGAGGCTGGAGGAGCTTTCAGGTCCATATCAAGTCTCACCGTGAGACCAAAATCCTAGAAGTTGAACTAGGGAGTATGATAGGCCTGGTCCAGCCCACACAGTGTGGTGTCTTACTCCTTGCACTGGCCCTCCCTCACCCAGCTTACCAACTCAAATTACACAGGTTATCTCCCCTTCGCGACAGGTTAACTAACACTATATTCAAATTGTATGAGTGACTGGCGCTACTGGTAGGAAGGAAACGGACATCCGTTTCGCGAACACCTGGTGTCATCACTGATGTTTAGTGATCCATTCATATACTTTCACCACTGTTTTGCTTTTACACCCAATGGAATCCGTTTAGTCGGATAATCGAGGCTGGTTAATCGAGACTGGTTCTCTGGCGTTAACGCTAAATATTTACTGCGGTTGTGTCATCCAACCCGAAACTGCTCACCTCGTGGACATTGGTCTCTGACCGCTGTCACGCCGTACAAGCGGCCATTGCCACCGATGGCGAGGTTGATCGGGTCGTTGCCATCAGCGCCTCCATCACGGTCGACGTTGGGAATTCCCTTACTGAAAGAATAATGTGAGTGTCATTCAGGAAGTAGTTTTGCGAGTCCTTAGTTTAAGGCATAATGGCTACTGCGACGTGTTCTACTGATGGGTGAGTGAGTACTGTTTAACAATATTTATAGCGCAGCAACATTCCACCAATATCACGATGGGGACACCCAAAATGAGTTTCACACATTGTAGGAAATCGAACCCGGGTCTTGGGCGTGACGAGCGAACGCTTCACCCACTGGGCTACCCAGGGGTGGAAATAACCCATTGCCCGACACCCGAGTCCAGTGGGTTTTTTCTGTTGGGCAAACAAATTTGTATATCAAACTGTACCGGTGTCCAGTTGACTTTCCAATATTAATTATGTTGTTTATTTAAAAAATCAGCAGGAAACGGCTGGTATAGTGGAAAAATTATCAGGGCAAGTGATTTTACATGTGCCACTGTACCGGAGTACACTAGCAATTTTAAAGTTATTTCCACCCATGCTACCCCACCTCATTTCCACTGATGACGCCAGACAATAGTTTACTGACGACTAAGGGACTGAGCGAGTACTGTTTTGCGTCGTGTTTTGCCAAATTCAGCAATTCAACAGAGGGGAGACTTTGAAATGAGCTTCATATGTTGTACCCATGCTGGGAATCTAACTCGAGACTCGGCATAGCGTTCAGACACTTTCATCAACAGATTTCCCACCGTCATTTAATGTTGAAGTCATACAGAGTTGCGCACCTTAGGTGCCAGGATCTGCTGGTCGTGTTTCAAAGCCAGCTTCGCTGTGATCATGAACCTCTGTTCACTCATACTCGTCCTCATGTAGTTCACACGATGGATATAAGGGACATAATTTTATTGTTCAGAACGGTATTAAACTCAAGTCACTCACTCACTCCAGGTCACAACTAATGACAGAAGAACAGGCAGTCACACTACTCACGTTTCCCAATCGGTCCAGTACAGGACGTTGTTGAAGAAGGCGACGTCGAAGGGGTAGGTGGCCTTGTCGTAGAGGATGCGGCGCCCCAAACCATCGGTTCGGATACATTCAATGCGATGGGTACCTAAGTAAGATGAGGGGTTATTTTAGTAAAAGATTCATTCAGTTTAGTGAAGAGACCGAGTATGGTTTAATATATTTAATAATTTGTCACAATCAGCGGCCTGCCATCACGGTCGACGTTTGCCATCAGCGGAATTCGACGTTGGGGAATTTACTGAAAGAATAATGTGAGTGTCATTCAGGAAGTAGTTTTGCGAGTCCTTAGTTTAAGGCATAATGGCTACTGCGACGTGTTCTACTGATGGGTGAGTGAGTACTGTTTAACAATATTTATAGCGCAGCAACATTCCACCAATATCACGATGGGGACGGAAAATGAGTTTCACACATTGTAGGAAATCGAACCCGGGTCTTGGGCGTGATGGCGAACGGTTTCACCCACTGGGCTACCAGGGGTGGAAATAACCCACGCCCGACAGTCGAGTCCAGTGGGTTTTTCTGTTGGGCAAAACAAATTTGTATATCACACTGTACCGGTGTCCAGTTGACTTTCCAATATTAATTAGTGTCTGTTTATTTAAAAATCAACAGGAAACGGCTGGTATAGTGGAAAAATTATCAGGGCAAATGATTTTACATGTGCCACTGTACCGATACACTAGCAATTTAAAGTTATTTCCACCCATGCTACCCCACCTCATTTCCACTGATGACACCAGACAATAGTTTACTAACGACTAAGGGACTGAGCGAGTACTGTTTTGCGTCGTGTTTTGCCAATTTCAGCAATTCAACAGAGGGGAGACTTTGAAATGAGCTTCATATGTTGTACCCATGCTGGGAATCTAACTCGAGACTCAGACACTTTCATCAACAGATTTCCGACCGTCATTTAATGTTGAAGTCATACGGAGTTGAGCACCTTAGGTGCCAGGATCTGCTGGTCGTGTGTTTCAAAGCCAGCTTCGCTGTGATCATGAACCTCTATTCCGTCATACTCGTCCTCATGTAGTTCACACGATGGATATAAGGGACATAATTCTATTGTTCAGAACGGTATTAAACTCAAGTCACTCACTCACTCCAGGTCACAACTAATGACAGAAGAACAGGCAGTCACACTACTCACGTTTCCCAATCGGTCCAGTACAGGACGTTGTTGAAGAAGGCGACGTCGAAGGGGTAGGTGGCCTTGTCGTAGAGGATGCGGCGCCCCAAACCATCGGTTCGGATACATTCAATGCGATGGGTACCTAAGTAAGATGAGGGGTTATTTTAGTAAAAGATTCATTCAGTTTAGTGAAGAGACCGAGTATGGTTTAATATATTTAATAATTTGTCAATATTCCAGCAATATCACGGCGGAAGATAGGCTTCCCCCAGCCAATCAGAATGCGCGTATGTAGAGAAGAAATTGGGTCAAATTAGTTACTTGAAATAATTTTCATTTCAGCTTGCATATATTTTTCAAAGACGCTTCAAGTATATTTTAATTATTGCATAGTCCTCCAGGGTTTTCTGATTTTGTATAACCAGGATATATTAACATCATGGCGTAGGAATGTATTTAAGCATGTGAAAGATACCCTTTGAGGTACATTTCCCTGGCGTGGATGCCATGTTTGTTTTCCAAGTAAACTAGAGTTACATGCCCTTGAAAATAGTTCGGCGACTAGACTATTTCTTTCAGGTTACGGAAAGGGACGAGTAGTTACGAATGGACTTGCACTACACGAGTTATCTCCTCTTACCGGCGTCTCCCCAACAAAGCTGCTGGGTCCGGTCATCCAGGGTTAGACCGTTCGGCAGGCCCAGGTCGGAGGTCACCAGTACCATCCTGCTCGTGCCGTCCATGTTGGCCTTCTCGATCTGAGGTTTGTCCCTGTTCCAGTCAGTCCAGTAGAACACCCTGGGGTGGCAGGAAATGTAACTTAGAACATCACGTCACAGAATACAATGTCAACCAAATCAGATTATAAGTACTATTACACCCTGAGGTTGATATGGTTATACGCATCAAAAACAACTTCATAGACAACCATATGATCTTTGCCTGCCATTTTAAGTAGATGAAGGCGGAAAACACAATTAGGACATCACGTCTCAGAACACAATGACCAATACATCTCGTTATAAGTAGATAACCCTAAAGGTGGAAATAACAATTGGGACATCACGTCACAGAACACAATGCATCAGGAGGTAACATATCTCCTTGGGGTCCAGTACTATTCGGAATATTTCCTTGGTCCAGTGCTATTTCCAGGGTTAACATTGCATCAATATACCCTCTGCATTGGTTCAGGGTGGTGTTTGTAAATTGAACTGTCTGAGTCTACCAACTCACCCTCTACGTGGGTCCAGGACGATGGATCTTGGGTTGGTGATGTCGGAGCTGAAGAGTGTCTTCTGATCGGTACCATCTAGCTTTGCAACACCAACGACGTCGAGTTCTGAGTCGGTGTAGTAGAGGTTCCTGGAGATGTAGTCAATGGCGATGCCCTCGGGAGACACAAGGCCTAGTAACAATACGTAGGAATACAATAATATATACCTCACGTACTCGCAGTCTAATAAACTCCAAACAATGGAAGGTATACTTCGTGTGTTTGTGTAGCGCCGCACTCAGCAATATTCCACCAATATGGCGGTGATCTGTACATGATCGTGTCTGGATCAGACAACCCAGTGATCAACAGCATGAACATCGATCTACGCAACTGGGATATAATGACATCTGTCAACAAAGTCAGCGAGCCTGACAGCCCGATCTCGTTAGTCGTCACTTACGGCAAGCATGGGTTGCTCAAGATCAATTCTAACCTGGATTGTCACGAGTAGAAACCCAGTTAGTGTTTCTATTTCATGGTGACGTTGATATATATGAAACTTTGTTCTTAGTAAACTCACCTGTCAGCACTGTCTGTATGTCTGTGCCATCATACCGGGCCCTTCTGATCTGACCGCCGGCCACGTCTGTCCAGTATAGCAGCGCCTCAAGACAGTCAGTGTCCAGACCTACTGCCAGCTGACCTTGAACATTCATCACAAGTGTATTTACTGGTGGACCTAGTGTCAGCTGACTCCGAACATTCATCACAAGTGTATTTACTGGTGGACCTAGTGTTAGCTGACTCCGAACATTCATCACAAGCGTGCACTGACTGGTGGACCTAATGTTAGCTGACTCCGAACATTCATCACAAGTGTATTTACTGGTGGACCTAGTGTTAGCTGACTCCGAACATTCATCACAAGTGTATTTACTGGTGGACCTAGTGTTAGCTGACTCAAACATTCATCACAAGTGTATTTACTGGTGGACCTAATGTCAGCTGACTCGAACATTCGTCACAAGTGTGCACTAATGTTAGCTGACTCCGAACATTCATCACAAGTGTATTTACTGGTGGACCTAATGTTAGCTGACTCCGAACATTCATCACAAGTGCATTTACTGGTGGACCTAATGTTAGCTGACTCCGAACATTCATCACAAGTGTGCACTTACTGGTGGACCTAATGTTAGCTGACTCCGAACATTCATCACAAGTGTGCATTTACTGGTGGACCTAATGTTAGCTGACTCCGAACATTCTGACTCACATTCATCACAAGTGTATTTACTGGTGGACCTAATGTTAGCTGACTCACGAACACTGGTGGACCCTCACAGCTGAGTGTATTTACTGGTGTGACCTACCTAATGTTAGCTGACTCCGAACATTCATCACAAGTGTATTTACTGGTGGACCTAGTGTTAGCTGACTCCGAACATTCATCACAAGTGTATTTACTGGTGGACCTAGTGTTAGCTGACTCCGAACATTCATCACAAGTGTATTTACTGGTGGACCTAGTGTTAGCTGACTCGAACATTCATCACAAGTGGGCACTTACTGGTGGACCTAATGTTAGCTGACTCCGAACATTCATCACAAGTGTGTACTTACTGTGGACCTAATGTTAGCTGACTCTAACATTCATCTGACTTACTGGTGGACCTAATGGTATGACTCCGAACACCACAAGTGTGCACTTACTGGTGGACCTAATGTTAGCTGACTCCGAACATTCATCACAAGTGGCACTTACTGGTGGACCTAATGTTAGCTGACTCGAACATTCACCACAAGTGGGCACTTACTGGTGGACCTAATGTAGCTGACTCCGAACATTCATCACAAGTGGGCTTACTGGTGGACTAATGTTTACTGAACATTGGACCTAATGTAGCTGACTCCGAACATTCACTCACAAGTGTGCACTTACTGGTGGACCTAATGTTAGCTGACTCCGAACATTGGTAGCTGGTGGACCTAATGTTAGCTGACTCGAACATTCACAAGTGTGCACTTACTGGTGGACCTAATGTTAGCTGACTCCGAACATTCACCACAAGTGGGCACTTACTGGTGGACCTAATGTTAGCTGACTCCGAACATTCATCACAAGTTGGCACTTACTGGTGGACCTAATGTTAGCTGACTCGAACATTCATCACAAGTGGGGCACTTACTGGTGGACCTCATGTTAGCTGGTCGAACTTCACCGAACACTCACCACAGAGTGTGCACTTACTGGTGGACCTAATGTTAGCTGACTCTGAACATTCACCACAAGTGTGCACTTACTGGTGGACCTAATGCTAGCTGACTCCGAACATTCATCACAAGTGTGCACTTACTGGTGGACCTAATGTTAGCTGACTCCGAACATTCATCACAAGTGTGCACTTACTGGTGGACCTAATGTTAGCTGACTCTCGAACATTCACCACAAGTGTGCACTTACTGGTGACCCTAATGTTAGCTGACCCCGAACATTCATCACAAGTGTGCTTACTGGTGACCCTAATGCTAGCTGGAACATTCACCACAAGTGTGCACTTACTGGTGGACCTAATGCTAGCTGACTCCGAACATTCATCACAAGTGTGCACTTACTGGTGGACCTAATGTTAGCTGACTCCGAACATTCATCACAAGTGTGCACTTACTGGTGGACCTAATGTTAGCTGACTCCGAACATTCATCACAAGTGTGCACTTACTGGTGGACCTAATGTTAGCTGACTCCGAACATTCACCACAAGTGGGCACTTACTGGTGGACCTAATGTTAGCTGACTCCGAACATTCATCACAAGTGTGCACTTACATGGTGGACCTAATGTTAGCTGACTCCGAACATTCATGACAAGTGTGCACTACTGGTGGACCTAATGCTAGCTGACCTTAAACATTTGTACAGGCGAACAATCAGTGTTGGGCCTAGTGTTCGTTGACCTTGCATATTCATGACAAATGTACACTTAGTGACCTGTCTACTGCCATCTAGCCGGTAAACATTCACCGCAGGTATGCACTTACAGATCGAACTAATGTTAGCTTAACGGGCATTCCTACAGGTACAGGCCAACTATCAGCTCCACTCGGACCATCCGCCATAGATTACACATAGCTTACTGTCAGGATAATTACAAATGTCGACACACATGTGACTTTTCGTGGATTCGGGGTGGGAGTTTGTATAGCCAGCCGCTGGTCGTAGTTGCGTCCGAGTAGGAAATGCTTCACATTTCGAGGGGTTGATATTGGGGTTGGGCTCTGGAAACATTGATTTTGATATTTACATCTAGCATGCTGATAGGATTAAGCTGTATCTCTGTTGTCCACATTCACTGCTGCCTACTTACCACTGAAAGTGGTCATGTGGAGATAGCAGGAAACTGGTTATAGATTATCTAATGGAGCTGGTTAGAGATTATCTAATGGAGCTAGGTCGTGTTCGTACATGCATATTGTCTCTTATCTGATGAATGTACAACAGAGCTACCAATTCAAAACGAGGTCTTGTTTTAACAGCATAAAGCAAGAGGAAAATGCATATTCAGTGAGTCATCGGCAGTAAGGTAAGTGGCAAGCGCTGTCACTTGATACAACAGGCGTGTATTCAGGGTTCATTTAAGTACTGTATGCACGGCTTAAAGGATCAATGCTGGGAATAAAATATTATGTGACGAGTGCAATACGAACCCGTCCAACTCTCAGTGTGGACTTTGATGATACTGAAGGTTGAAACGTGACACGAGGTTAATCCTGACAGATGTATTCCTGTCTTGAACTGTACCTGTGAAAGGTCTTTGAATGGCATTTAGAAATGATACGCATAGGGAAGATAATTTTATAGACGTCAACTTCTTTATTATGTGGAACACAACGTTGCGGAGTATATCCTACTTCATCAGGTGAATAAATGCTATGAGGCAGAGAGCAGATGTATGCACAAGAAAAAACAACAAAAGTAATAAGACAACAAAGGCGGAGGCTTAACGCCTGTTAAAACAACGCCTACACTTTATCTTTGAGCGACTGGTAACAAAACGGAGGCGCGACAGGTGAAAAGGTGTGGTCTTACCTGGTACGTAGATGAGCATCTGTCCCCTGCCGGTGCCCTGATAAGGAACGCGGGAGATGCTGTACCCTTGGGCGTAGATGAGGAAGCTGCCGCTGCCGTCAAACGCTGCAGCAGAAACAAGACGAGCATGGTAGAACAACAGAGTAATTCCAAGATTCAAAATGTTTAACAGACAGGAGTGAGACATGGTGACCGTCTTGCCCTGGTGTGGTTTAACAATTACTGACACAAGGTGCTCGGTGACTGTAACAACGGTTTGTTTGCATGACCCGATGTCGACCCATCATGTTACCAGTCAAAGCCACTGAGCCATGAACATGCATTGTCACACATAATGCGGTAGCCTTGCCACAAGTCTTTAGTCTCTAAATGTTTCTCGTCTTTAACTACAAAATATCACCGGACACCATAAAAACTGGTGCAGCACTTGTAACACTGTTAGGTAACTACCGAAATATTTGATTCATTTTAAGGTTATTATAATCATCGGCAACGAAAAATACTTTCCTGGATAAAGAGCTGTGACTTTACTAAGTCTTACTGACTGAAGTGAACATTAATGGTCTGTCCACGTGATACGGCTTAAGCCGGATTTATTGTAAACGGTAGTGCAGTAGGTATACTCTTCAAAGCCACGTATAATTGCAGTGTCACTGCCTGGCGTTCCGCTACATGCGCGCTTCGCCAGTTGTCGGAAAATATGTGGCTCGAGGCGCTGAAACTCGTTGCACAGAGTTATCTCCCATATGGATTCGATGGGTGTGAGTTCAAATCCCAGCCTTAAAATCTAATTTTATGCAATCTGTGCCACTTTGTTTCCCTCTAAAACAAGGCTCACGTTCAATGTCATTAAAATCATCATTTCTCCGATAGGGCACCTCTCTGAATGCGTCTATTTTAGCAATATCTCAGCGGGGACACTGGAAATGGGCTTCACACATTGTACTCATTTTAAACCCGGGTTTTCATCGTGACGATCCGACGTTTTAACCATTTGGCCCCCATCTCTGAATGAATATCTGAGAAAATTTCCATAAGGGGTCGTGTCAGGTGAACTTTCACATCAGTCAATCTGCTCCAAGGCTTCTAAATCCGCAGTACGAAATAATGACGCATTCAGACTCTTATTGGTGTATCTCGAAGTCGAACTAATACGAGGAGTTCCGAAATGATGTGAACATTCCACACCTCCCCTCAGTGTCGTTTCTGAGCGCCCTGCCATCTACTCCTAATAGGGATTAATACTGATTGATTATTTGTCTTCTGTGATGGTTTCAGTTTCTTCAAATCGAAAATTTGCGATTCGAGTAGAAAAGAGTGAACCGAATCGTTTTTATAAGCTCACTGCTGATTGGCTCAGGAGCCAACATATCCTTCATTTGTGATTTGGAGTTCAAAGGTCGTTCAGCTTTCACCTTTTCTTCTGTACAGATGGCAAATATTAACGCAGAGAGGTATTGTATCTGAGTGAAAGATCGTAGTTTGATGAGTCTCCTTGATGTAACTGGAAAACGTTTGGAACCGGTTTTAGAATTTACTCAGGTGATGACAGGGCTCAGCAATTGTGTTGCATACTTACTGACAATGGACGGCATATTACACATTGGGTGACTAATTGTCCTTGTAAATGCTCAGCGTACGGTGGTCCAAAGGCGGATCCAGAAATTTTCGTGGGGGGGGTGGGGGAGGTGTGTTGGTTCACTGGTCGATCTAATCCCCCGAACCCCACCTTGGCTCCGCCAATGCAAAACTTCAATGTGGTCTTTAGTCATTTTCTAAAGGAGGGTTTTGAACCCCCTGAAACACACACGCACGCACGCACGCACGCACGCACGCACACGCACACACACACACACACACACACAGAGGATCTGTGGTCTATCGGCTGTGTGAATGACCCATGCTCACCTCTGCAGGAACTGCCGTCCCCGACGAAGTTCTGGTTACACACACAGACGTAGTGGTCGACGTTCTGGACACAGGAGGCGTTAGGGTCACACAGGCGGGGGTCACGGTAACAGTTGGGGATGTCATCTGAAACAGTGTCAAATAGGTTAGTTATACAGCCTTACTGCTAAACTGTACTTCCAGACCTAGACTGTCGATGCTATCTTAGTGTTAAGAAGCTTAGTGCTAAGCTTCGAAAATCCAGGCCCAGAAGATTAAAAGAATCGTTCAGGCTCCTGTTATGGTTATGTAAAGTCTTCCATTACTCAACACTCAAAGGTCAAATGACGAGGACGAACATTTTGCTCATTTCTCATATTGTGATGATCCTTATTGGCCATAAGAATCCTTATCAAAAAAACATGTCTTCATGTGGAATCTATGGCCTCATCAACCTCTTCCTGCATCTCACTCTCCACACTGATTCCGGGTTCAACCTGGTTCCCAACAACATTTGCTGGGCCCTTTTCCACAAACGCTACGATCGTGGTAAGTCTGAGTGAGTGATTTCGGTTTAACACCACTTTTAGCAATATTCCAGCAATGTCACCAGAAATGGGCTGCACACATTGTACCCATGTGGGGAATCGAACCCGGGTGTGACAATCGGCGTGACAATCTAACACTTTAACCACTAGGCTACCCCACCAACCCCGTAAGTCTACGTTACTGTATGTGAGTTTCGGTGGTATTAGCGCTAAAATCGCTTTGTGGAAATGGGCCATGGTCGTAAAAGGCTACTCTTTGAATCGGGTGATAAGACGGGATAATAGCGGTCATCGTTTCCGGTTGTGTGATCAGATATCGGGTAGTGGTGGTCCGATTAATTGAAATAATCGAAGATTGGTCGCAGTGGCCAAACGACCAAGCAATCGATCATATTTTCTCATAATCGAACACAAACGATTTTGGAACCGCTGTAATAGAGTTTGAAATACTTGATGATGGAACATATCTAGGACGTTGTCTGGGCCTGAAAACGTGTTTATTTCTAAGAAAACTCACTTCACTTTCTGAAAAGTCATGACTGAATATTTCTTGAAGAATCTGGGAAGTTAATGTTACACTGGAACTGAATCATTTTACACTGGATGTGAAATCTGCAAATGTAATTTGTGCAGTTTCTAAAAAAACCAGAGAACCAAATGTTTTTTTCTTTATACTTATCTGCAACTACAACCTGAATAGGAAAATCTAAAAAATGACGCTAACCAATTTTTGTTTTCGATGATTGGTAGTTGGTATTGAACCAATCATCAATTGTGAGATTTCAACCAATTCCCAACACTAACATCGGGTATAAAGCTGGAAAATTGCTGAGATGCAAAACTAACAAACACTGCCTATCGGGACGTCGGGAAGTAAGAAATTGTGGCCATATTGAATTTTCAGTTTCGACGTCTTAAGGCCCCTACATTGGTACCACGAGACCAGATTTTGGAGAGTAACTGATAATAAGAGTTGTCTGTGTTTTGGAGTGAGTGAGTGAAATGAAACCAAGTGGGCGTGAAATACTTACCTCGGCGTTCGCAGGTGCGCCCGTCTCCAATGTAGTCTGCCCGACACTGACAACTGTAAGACCGCCTATCCGGGTCATAGATGCATTCTGCTTCCCTTGCGCAGTTGTTGACTTCGTTACAGTTGTTGACTTCGGATATATTCACAGTTATTGTAATCACAAGAGGAATGTTCGGAGATAAAATTCAGGATCAATTGATATATAAGAGACCATGACAAACGTTATTAGGTAATCACAAGTAGGAATGCACCCCCTTTTGGCATTAAACATTAAAATCTCGTGAAATCAATTGCAATATCCTTTTCAAAGAGACCATGACAAAGCGTTATTTGGTATGGATAACAACCTGATTCGCGTTTATAAAGGCACCATTTTAAGAATACATGGCAATATTATTCTTTAAGAAATGAAGACATACTGACCTCGTTGTATGCAGACCTTGCCGTCGCCCTCGAAGCCAGAGACGCACCGGCAGATGTTGCGACTTGTATCCCGGGGATCAGGCCCGCACCGTGCATTGCTGTCACAGTCGTCGTCATCACCACATCCCTCCAACAAACAGCGACGGCCGTCTCCTGCAATGTCCAACAAGGTACCCCGTGATGTTTGGCAGTGAGTGGACACATTAACACTAGTCAACTCCCGATATAACGCGATGTATGGCGCCATCACAAGTATCACACCGCGTTACATTCAAATGATTAATAACATCTTGAACATTTTCGGGAGGTTTAGAATTTGTTTCAAAACTGCTTCTGCACTTAGTCCAGGGCCCCGTTCCTCAATGCGATCGTAACCCTAAGGTGATCGTAACTCCCATACTTTAACATTGACTTACGACAGTCGCAGCGCTACGATCGCTTTGAGGAACAGGGTCCTGGAGATCGAATAGGGCCATGTTCATCAAAGCGACCTTTGCCTGCAACGACCGGAAGTCACATACATGTACTTTAGCATGGAGGCACAGCATCAGTAACACGAAGATGTTTTGCTTCATGTACATGTTTAAACAAATATTCATGAAGAAACATCAAGCTGACCTGTTCATGAGTGTGCAAGAGTGTGAGCATATTTATATCACACAAAGGCTTAGATTTCTACAGCGGGCAAAATTAGTATAAGATTTATTAATAATATGATTGATATAGCCACTTATAGCGCTTATTAGTAAATTTTAATTATTTTAGTTCGGTATGAAAATTCAGGGCGGGCGGGAGAAATACAGACAGCTTTATACAACGCCACCAGGGAGCGTTCCTCAAAGCGATCGTAACGCTAAGGTCGTCGTAACTCACATATTTTAACACAGACTGTCGTAGCGCTATGATCGCTTTGTGAAGCTGGACCCTGGTCTGTTTGGTATAGCCTCCATTCATTGCGGAGTGCGGCAGACAATATGGACCCGCTCACCATATCCGACTTCGTCATGTGTATGATTCGTGATTTACTTACAAACCAATAATTGAAATGACGAGTGAAATGATTTTATCATATTATACCGACAATAAAAAGTTAAAATGTCACTACCATTTAGTGGTTCACAGGGTATTTGAACCTCTTTAAAATTATTTTTTTAATTTATCACGAAACGTGGAGTACGTTAGTACAGAATGCAGGTAGTGTTGTCTGAGCTGACGTGACCTACCTCGGTAACCACTGCTACACCTGCAGTAGTTGTTGCCGTAGTCGGGGTCTGTGACACATTCGGCGTTCTGGTCACAAACGGCGTGCGTTTTGCAGTCGTAAGCCTCGCAACGACGTCCATCTCCATAGAAACCAGAACGACATCGACATTGGTAGGCCTGGGTTGACTGGTCAAAGTCACACTGGGCGTTGACACTGCATTCCACGCATGGGTCTGTAGGAATCAGGTTAGTTTAGCCACTGAGTGAGTGAGTGAGTTTGGTTTTACGCCACACTCAGCAATAATCCAGCTGTATGGCGGCGGTCTGTAGATAATCGAGTCTGGACCAGACAGTCCAGTGGTCAACAGCATGAGCATCGATCTACGCAGTTGGGATATGTCAACCAAGTCAGCGAGCCTGACCACCCGATCGGGTTAGTCGCCTCTTACGACAAGCATGGGTTACTGAAGATGATTCTAACCTGGATCTTCACGGGTCTTTTAGCCATTGAGAATTATTATCATTGTTATTGTTGTCATTAATACAAACAAACAAATTAAATCTGTTATGCATTTAACAGTGATGAGCATGCATACACTGGAAACACTAGCTACCTATGGTGGAGCACCTGAACCCGTCACCGCTGTAACCAGCGTTGCACTGACACCTGTAAGTGAAGCGATCGACGTCCATGACGCAGGCGGCGTTAGAATCACATCTCAGACACACACTCCCTGGAAACAGAGAGAACAAGTTCACAGACACAGCATCTAAAACACCATCTTTTCACAAACGTTTGGATCTAATTCTCTTAAAACGTGCTTAACAATCAACCGACCCCAACTCCCTCAGATGTCAAACTTTAATTTCATTTAAGTAAACTTAGGCTCTGTATTATTCGTTACATTGCTATAAGGTTAATATAATTTTTTAAAATTATTTTGAAGGGGTCACTTACGGTCATCCGTAGTCTCGCAGGACAAACCGTCGCCGCTGAAGCCATCCTCGCACTCGCATACGTAGCGGCCCTCTTCCCCGTCGTAAATGCACTGTGCGTTGGGGCTGCAGTTATCCACCTCGTTGCAGCTGAACTCTGGTGGAGAGACAAGGGAGGTAATTGAGTGACGTCCGAGTGACAGAGGGACAAGGGAGGTAATAGATTAACGTTCGACTATCTAGACTGCGAGGTAGTTACAGAATGAAAATGAGTGATCCGCATTTTGCTTAACTATAATGCAGATATTAATGGCAAATTAAAAATGATGATTCTGAAATATATCGGTATTATAGGGTAAACCTCCTCCCATGTTGTGGTGTTTCGTTTCGTTTCGTTATTTGTTAATTTCGCAATTAACCTACCGAGTCGCAGAGTTACCTCCCTTAGTTAAACGAAAATGGAAACAGGCAGCAATGGCAAACTTGTAACAGGACCGGGATTCCATCCCACTAACAGTGAAAATAAATTAGTATAAGATTTATTAATAATATGATTGATATAGCCACTTATAGCGCTTATTAGTAAATTTTAATTATTTTAGTTCGGTATGAAAATTCAGGGCGGGCGGGAGAAATACAGACAGCTTTATACAACGCCACCAGGGGGCCTTCCTCAAAGCGATCGTAACGCTAAGGTCATCGTAACTCACATATGTTATTAACACAGACTGTCGTAGCGCTATGATCGCTTTGTGAAGCTGGACCCTGGTCTGTTTGGTATAGCCTCCATTCATTGCAGAGTGCGGCAGACAATATGGACCCGCTCACCATATCCGACTTGGTCATGTGTATGATTCGTGATTTACTTACAAACCAATAATTGAAATGACGAGTGAAATGATTTTATCATATTATACCGACAATAAAAAGTTAAAATGTCACTACCATTTAGTGGTTCACAGGGTATTTGAACCTCTTTAAAATTATTTTTTTAATTTATCACGAAATGTGGAGTACGTTAGTACAGAATGCAGGTAGTGTTGTCTGAGCTGACGTGACCTACCTCGGTAACCACTGCTACACCTGCAGTAGTTGTTGCCGTAGTCGGGGTCTGTGACACATTCGGCGTTCTGGTCACAAACGGCGTGCGTTTTGCAGTCGTAAGCCTCGCAACGACGTCCATCTCCATAGAAACCAGAACGACATCGACATTGGTAGGCCTGGGTTGACTGGTCAAAGTCACACTGGGCGTTGACACTGCATTCCACGCATGGGTCTGTAGGAATCAGGTTAGTTTAACCACTGAGTGAGTGAGTGAGTTTAGTTTTACGCCACACTCAGCAATAATCCATCTGTATGGCGGCGGTCTGTAGACAATCGAGACTGGACCAGACAATCCAGTGATCAACGGCATGAGCATCGATCTAAGCAGTTGGGATACGATGACATTTGTCAAACAAGGCAGCGAGCCTGACCACCCGATCCCGTTAGTCGCCTCTTACGACAAGCATGGGTTGCTGAAGATCATTCTAACCTGGATCTTCACGGGTCTTTTAGCCATTGAGAATTATTATCATTATTACTGTTGTCATTAATACAAACAAACAAATTAAAGCTGTTATGTATTTAACAGTGATGAGCATGCATACACTGGAAACACTAGCTACCTATGGTAGAGCACCTGAACCCGTCACCGCTGTAACCAGCGTTGCACTGACACCTGTACGTGAAGCGATCGACGTCCATGACGCAGGCGGCGTTAGAATCACATCTCAGACACACACTCCCTGGAAACAGAGAGAACAAGTTCACAGACACAGCATCTAAAACACCATCTTTTCACAAACGTTTGGATCTAATTCTCTTAAAACGTGCTTAACAATCAACCGACCCCAACTCCCTCAGATGTCAAAATTAAAACAAACTTTAATTTCATTTAAGTAAACTTAGGCTCTGTATTATTCGTTACATTGCTATAAGGTTAATATAATTTTTTAAAATTATTTTGAAGGGGTCACTTACGGTCATCCGTAGTCTCGCAGGACAAACCGTCGCCGCTGAAGCCATCCTCGCACTCGCATACGTAGCGGCCCTCTTCCCCGTCGTAAATGCACTGTGCGTTGGGGCTGCAGTTATCCACCTCGTTGCAGCTGAACTCTGGTGGAGAGACAAGGGAGGTAATTGAGTGACGTCCGAGTGACAGAGGGACAAGGGAGGTAATAGATTAACGTTCGACTATCTAGACTGCGAGGTAGTTACAGAATGAAATGAGTGATTGCATTTTGCTTAACTATAATGCAGATATTAATGGCAAATTAAAAAAATGATGATTCTGAAATATATCGGTATTATAGGGTAAACCTCCTCCCATGTTGTGGTGTTTCGTTTCGTTTCGTTATTTGTTAATTTCGCAATTAACCTACCGAGTCGCAGAGTTACCTCCCTTAGTTAAACGAAAATGGAAACAGGCAGCAATGGCAAACTTGTAACAGGACCGGGATTCCATCCCACTAACAGTGAAAATAGGCCACCAAAGTGTATGTATATGATTAATAATATTACCTAGATGTTGTTTCTGTAACAGTTTTACATGTCAGTTTCCATAAGGTTTGTTTATGTGTCAAAATGTGCACCCGCATCGGTTTTTCATTCCCGCGCTTTGCAGCGATTCAAATTAGTTTACAGTATGTTTGAGCTCTGTTCAGAGTAAGTTAGTATTATAAATGGTATTCTATATTTATTTCTAGTGTTAGCATACTCTGGTGTAGCGTAAACAGTGATGTTTTCACCAAGACTTCATTATTGTCAGACCGCCTCCGTGGTGTAGTGGTTAGAGCGTCCGCCCGGAGTGCGGAAGGTCGCGGGTTCGATCCCCGGTCGCGTCATACCAAAAGACGTTAAAATATGGTACTTGTTGGTCCCTGCCTGGCGTTCGGCATTAATGGGTACAAGAAGGACTGGTCGGCTCGGAGTCAGTATAATGTGTCTGAGTGCTTCACTCAAGTATTCATGCTTCACTGCGGCATGGCATCTCAGTGGGCTAGCACTATAAAACCAGCTTAAGTCTGGGCTAGTACAAGCAGCCGCGCATACACATACACACGCATGCACGTCGTCATATGAGCGAAATATTCTCAAGCACGACGTTAAACCCAATTTCACCTCACCTCATTATTGTCAGAAAGGAGTACTCAGTCTTCATGTCCAGTTTGTCAATTTGAAGCGCACGTAAAATTTCAGCCAGGCTAGCGCTTCACTGTAGGTATGCAGTCGTTTAATTCTGCATTACGAAAATGTTTCTAGATTGTGTCCTGACTGGTTCTTTTTGTTTGTTTCACTCTTTTACGTATTATCACGGACAGGAATAAAGTTTATGTCATCGTAAAAACTGCTTTCGTCTGTACACATGTATAATGTCTTTACATTTTCCGAAACTTTTACTATCGTCATAAAAATAAAGTAATAGATCTTCATTGAAGTACTTTCAACATCCCCTTCCGTCCATAGCCACTTGGCCCTCACCCACCAAAGTAAATAATAGGAAAGAAGTCTCTTCCCTCAGGCTGATACGGTCTTTGTAAATATTATACAGACGCTTCTTCCACTAAACTCACCAATTGGCTCACAGTCCACCCCGTTTCCTGCGAAGCCGGTGTTGCATTCGCATACAGGTTGTTGTTGGACGCTGTCGAAGACGCAGCGGCCATGTTCCCCACAGAGAATCTCCCCGCAGAGCTGTACCTCACCTGCAACATTGGCACTTGCAACAGTAGACCACAAAGCCAGTTATCCCGGCTGAAAACAAACTCGACTCGACACAGCTAAACCAATATAAAATCATTCATACAGTAAACATCAAAATATGTTTGTTTATCATTTAACGCCGCACTCAGCAATATTCCAGTTATATGACGGCGGTCTGTTAATAATCGAGTCTGGACCAGACTATCCAGTGATCAACAGCATGCGCATCCGGATACGATGACATGTGTCAACTAAGTCAGCAAGTCAGACCACCCGATCCTGATAGTCGCCTTTTACGACAAGCATGGCTTGCTGAAGACCAATTCTAACCCCGTTCTTCACGGGTACCTGTTACCATATGAAGACTTTGGGTAAAATTGCCACATTTAATGATTTAATGAAGACATCGTTTACTTCGTCATCAGAAGACGTAAAACACTGCTGTCAAACATTTTTATGAACATACAGGTTAAGCTTTTAAAAACATATAAACAAACAAAACATGGTAACAGGAATATCATTCGCAAATATCGCTGTTAATTAACACGTCGTTCAAAACGTGTCCAGCTGTATCAGGAGTAGACACTCACGTTGACACACTTCACCGTCGCCCCTGAAGCCGGCCTGGCACTGACACTGGTAAGTTCCCCTGACGTTGAAACAACGGGCGTTGACGTCACACATGTGACTTCCAATTGTACACTCGTCGATATCTTTAAACAAAAAACATAATCTTATCTCTGAACCAGGGTCCCGATCCACAAAACGTTCGTAGCGCTACGACATTTGTAAGTCGGTGATAGACTACAGAGTTACGACAGGTCGTAACGTTACGAACGCTTTGTGGATCGGGATTCTGGGCCATGTTCCACAAACCGATCGTAGCACGACTGTCGTAAGTCTATGTTAAATATGGGAGCTACGATCACCTTAGCGCTACGACTGTCGTAAGTCTATGTTAAATATGGGAGCTACGATCACCTTAGCTCTACGATCGCTTTGTGAATCGGGAAGCCTGGAGACAATGGTCATATATCCATTCTACAGTATGTTTTTCCAAGCCCATTAACCGTTTATCCGATATAACTTCACACCAGCAAGGACAGCAATGGCAAGAATATCATACTTATATCCACTGTTTTACAGATTCGAGATAGCTTGAATTGGAATAATCCTACTTAGAACTGGAATAATCCTACTTAGAACTGAACTTAAAATTTCTTGAAACGAATTCTGATATTCGATTAAAAATAGCAGTATTTTGCAATATGAGGAATTCACTTCCTGATATTTTGCAATTCAAAACAGAAATCATTATGTCCTCGTATCATTATTTAATTATTGACATGTAATTGTTTACCATCAAGTAATACTGCCGCTGCGTTACTAATATCGTCAAATAGCCTTCACACACACACACACACACACACCAGCCCTTACTGTAATGCAAAAGTCCTAAATGAAGCAAGCTAGATTTTCCTCAGAATTTTTTTTAAAAAAAATCAATAAAAATGAAGCTATTTTTCTATCATAATTATATATTTTCAGAAGGTAAACTTTAGTCTGTCTCAGTACCTTTACGAAAGTTGACAATCACAATAATTAGGTTGGAAAAGTAGAACGAATGTGCCCACCATCACAAGAATATGCACACCATCACTAAGAGTTCAGTGACAGAGGCATCAGAGTGAGGATCTAGATTAAGACCCGGTTGCTCACCATCGCAGGTTCCGCCATCTCCAACAAAGCCTTGTCTGCAGACACACCTGTAGGTTTCGCCCTCGGGGATGCAGTCGGCATCAGCGGCGCAGTTCTGGGCGGCATCACGGCACGGGTCCGAACCTACGTCATTTACATATCAATGCACTCAGTTAAGCATACACTTCTGTGGTAAATATACATACAACAAAAGTTAAGTACCATCCCAATTTTCAATATTAAAGTATTTCATACTTCATAGTATGATCCATATAATACTTAAACGTTGAATATTGGGGTGGACCGTAACTACTATATTTACCTTTAAAGAAATGGAGTGCCATAAAACGAAAAAGTTCCAGACAGTCAGGTTTCCAACGGAACCATTGGATTTATGCCCTGACTATGTATAAAAGGATCCCTGTAATTAGGATTACCGTTGCTGCTAACGTGTATACATTTGGACCTGTGAACCTGCACACACAAAAGTGAGTGAGTGAGTTCAGTTGTACGCGGCTTTATGCAATATTCCAGCAATATCTGAAATGGGTTTCACACATTGTACCCACACAAATGAAGAACGCCACTCCCATTATCAGAGTCCTCCAAACAAGAATCATACCAATAAACATTGGCGGATACACATTTCAGCATCATTATCATCATCATTATTATCAATATGATCATAATTATTATCAATATGAATGTCAATATCCGCGTAGCTATCAGCATCAGTGGACGAATGTGTACCTGTCAGCATTCCAACCTTGTTGGACTGGGCGAATCTCACCACCTGGTTGGGTCTGTCAAAGACGACGAAGTTCCTGCCCACAGAGAGACGGACCGTACCGAGTGCCTGCACATCCGGATCCGCCATGCACTCGGAAAACATGATGGTCTGGTCCCAGGTGTAGCGGTAGGCGACATCGTTGATCCTGTAAGTGCGACTCGACTTCGCCTTGATCAGGCCTGGAACACAAACAGGAGATTGATATCCCCCAATACTCTGAATACCACGGAGGAGTGAGTGAGACATTCTCTTCCCACAGAGGTTACTAAAGTCATATCTTCCTACGTACCTCTGTACAAATACGGCCATATTTCCCGGTTCTCTTACAATTCCCTAGCGGCATAAAATCGCAACACGAATTATCTCCCTTCTTTCTATCCAATCAGGACATGTGTTACATCGGCTTAGATCCAATATGGCGTGAATGTGAGTGAGAATGAGTTGGGTTTAACCACTCCAACCACTAGCCTACTCCACACTAAAAAACGAAGACACGTGACCAGGTAGAAGCGGTGTTCAAACCCATGTCTGGCACCATCTGCATGCACAAACCGTGATATCATCATTGGTTACCTGGTCGGAGCTTCTTAAAGTTCTCCTTATGGTCATCCACGACGACCTTGGCACCCAGCTCTATTGGCGGGATCTCGCCATTCAGGGTGGTCTCCATGCGCAGGTTGTTGAGCGCGTCGTGGCCGTAGAAGTTTTGCTGGACATTGAGCACGTACGTTTTGTTTCCAAACAAGAACGTCACTATCGCAGTCCTGTTGAACTCTCCGCCTGAAACATAAAATTCACCTGTAATCCAACCATTCCAAAGGACTGTGCAATAGGAGTTTCAATGTTCCAGCAATATCACGGCGGTGGACACCAGGAATTGTCTTCATACATTATACCCATGTGGGGATTCGAACCCGTCGTGACGAGCGAACGCTTTAACAATTAATGAACCCATCGCCCTGTACAATAAAGAATTTGAACTACACGTTGACTGTAATTGCTGACGCGAGTTGCTGCTGATTTAACACAGCGCAGCTTCATTCCCGAACAGCCGCTGATTCCTGCTAATGCACATGAAAGGGGTCCTAATCTCACTGGTAGGTCGTTATCTCAAGTGTTGACTTTGTAATAAGTGCATATGTTAAAACTGAAGCAGTGTGTCTTCGATGGTTGGGTTTAACGCTGATTTGAACAGTATTCCAGTTAAATCACGGCTATCAGTGAGTGCGTATGTTTTAACGCTGCTTTTAGAAATATTCCATCGGGGGACAAAGGAAATGGGCTTTACACATGACACATGTGGGGAATCGAACCCGGGTGTTCAGGTTGACGAGCGGACGCTTTACCATTAGGCTACTCCACCGCCGCACGGAGAATGAACTTGATGTGGGAGGACTCCCTGAAGTGGTACCGCTTTGGTGAAACCTCCGATCACCAGAATAGTGGTGACAGAGCGAATCTCTCATAGGCTTCTATCAAACCTAATTCTGAAAAGTGAGGGGAGGTGGAGTAGCTTTGTGGTTAAGCGTTCGCTCGTCATGGACCAGTTCGATTCCCCACATCGGTTACGACTGAGCCCATTTCTGGTGTCCCCCGCCGGGATATTGCTGGAGAATTGCTAAAAGCGCGGTGTAAAACCATACTCACTCACTCGTTCTGCTCAGTGAATTGCGATGACTGATATGTACGTATAAATCTGCTAAACAGATATACACTTGGAATATTCAAACATAAAAGTCTTGAACGCCAAAACCTGAGTGAAACTTGACAGTTCCTCCTATTGGTGATGCCTTTCTTGCATTTACCATTTAGGGCTGGAGATGAATTTCTCACAAAATACCATCCTGGAGGTCAACTAGTGCTTACCTGTGAACACATATCCATTTTTGGCCTTGGTGTTTGTTGGCACCGCGAACATCCAACCGATGATGCCTCCAATGGCACTGAGAGTCTGCATGGCGGTAGCAAGCTCCGTGGGAACTCGGCTGATGGCGGAATAGGCGCGACCGTCTGCTGTCACTACGTAAGTGTGCATGTCAAGATCAAGCAAGGTCACGCCGTTCAGTACACCGTGAACCTTTCCATTAAGACGTTGTGGAACACCTGAACAAAGACCAAAATAGTTTGTCACCAGTTCCATATTCGTAGATGCTTTGCGGAAAAAATTACTATTTATATTCTGTATCACGACTGATCATATAAAGAAAAGAAAAGATTTTAATAAAAAAGTAAAACTTTCAACAAAACATGTTCAACAATGAATTCACTTCATTGAACATGAGCATACATTCACTCACTCACTAACTCACTCAGCTTCAGTCAAATAATACAAAAGTAAAGGCTATAGAAATCCTGCATATTCTGAATCCAATTTTTCAATGAATTCTTCGTTTTAATGTTTATTGTTATCACCTGGTTCCAGGCAGGTTTTTCCGTTTCCGTAGTACGGCGGCAGGCACTCGCAGCAGAAACCGTCTGAAAAGTCCACACAGCGGGCGTTTATATGACACGTCCTGGTCCCCTCCAGGCAGCTTCCCTTGCCGGGCTCCACTGGGAACACGAACACTGCAACATGCCATCAGGAGGGTTACACTCCAGTCTGTCTCACAGGCCTTGAACCATATTATTTGCCTATCCGCTTAGCCCTTTGTCGAATGCTAAAGCCCTATTATACTTCCTCAGGAGCTGAATCTCCATTTTACTATGGCTCCCTTTCTGTTTAAAATGACTAACCAAACTGTATAAGCGCTAGTCTAGTGACACCCAAGTACTTTCGGCAATGATAAATCCCTAAATGAAGCAAGTCTAGATTTCCCATCTCATTGGTTCTGAATCAGCCCATGGTTAAAGCATTGGCCGGACCCGGGTTCGATTTCTATTTCAAGTGACTGTGTTTGTTTCTATCCAAAGTATATCTATTCAGAGACTAAGCGTTAGTTTAGTTACACCCATCCCCCAAGTCCTTTCTGCAGAGCTAAAGCCCTAAATGGATCAAGTCTAGATTTCCTCAGGTTCTGAACCATTCGTAACTACTCGTGTCATTCCGGCAAGCCGGATGGCGTCTTCTTGTAGGTCACGGAAAGAGGCGAGTAGTTACGAATGGTTCTGAACTTCCCATTTCATTGGTGGTCCTTTTCAATTTCAAGGACTGTTTTGTTTCTGCTGTTTTAAGTTGACATATGCAACGCTTTCGCGGTTGTCATTAATTCAGCGCTTCTTATTACATGAGCGCTCGTAATTCACTTGAGTGGAAGAAAAACGATGTTACAAATAGAAGCAATTTATCTCTTCAAGAAAACTACAGATATTGTGTATACGGTCCAGTGGGTAGGTACGTTTGGATTGCTGTCAACGAAAACGTCATGATTCGTTTTAAGCTGATGGAGGCATTTGAGATTGGATATCGGTTTGATGTGCAGCGCATGCCCATTGTGTATATTACGTCTCTTTAAATACAACATTTCCAAATGGAGGGTAACATCTTGCAGTTCGCACTGACTGCCACGATATTTCATGGGTGTGAACTCAGAATAGGTCGAGTCACTACTGGGCAGGGCTGAACATGTGTGCATGTGTATGAACAACTATGGAAGCAGAGACCCTGGTCTGAACCCGGACCACGTGACGTGATGTATTTATGATGATGTCATTACACATTACGATAATAATAAGTGCATTTTTAATGCGCTAAACTCCATTCACTATGTGGATACTCATAGCGCTAACAATCTGACTATTATTACCCCGGATAACCAAACATGCCAGTGAGGCGCTAGGTTATTAGTCACATGACTTATCCCATCGGGTACCCATTTTCTGCTGGGTGAACAGAGCAGAGAGAACAAACTGATTTGCCAAAGGTGAGACCACATGTATCACATGTGCTTCGTTGTTGGGCAGAACTGAAGTCCTATTATTAATCAAAGTAAGGTATAAAACATATTCGTTTAGGTTGGCGGCTGATATCAAAGTGACATTTACCAGAGATATCTGGGATATACCACAACAAGGTAACCAGTGACGGGAATCTGTTTTTCAAATTAATTACATTCACTAATTCCATGAAATGGATGAGGTTTATGACTGAAGGCGAAGCAAATTTCCTAATAAGTATATATCTACTGAAGTCTACTGAAGGATAGGACTCTTTCTGTGTCTGTTAGGTTGCTACGAGAAGTCAAAAACAGTTGTAGATCGTGTCTTCTGCAAGAAGACTCTTTACATATCTCTGTTATGTGTTCAGAATAGACTTAGACCATGTCTACTGAAGGTCTTGGCTCTTTCCAGATGTCTGGTGTTAAGGAAGAGCCTAACGTGAGTTTATCATGGCCAGTGTATTTGACTCTTTCATGTTTTAAGAGACGTTGATAGTCCTACCTTCTCCTGTGTTGAGGTCCGCGGGCTGGATGTTCTCCGCCTCCCGGTTACCGATATGGAACATCCACGCACCGGGGATGTTGACGTTGGTGTGGCTGTAGAACAGGTAGAACACAAGTGAAAACATACCATGCCAGTATATGAGTGAGTATATACCACGCCAGTATATGATTGACCACATACCACGCCAGTATATGAGTGAGTATATACCATGCCAGTATATGAGTGAGTATATACCATGCCAGTATATGATTGACCACATACCACGCCAGTATATGAGTGAGTATATACCATGCCAGTATATGAGTGAGTATATACCATGCCAGTATATGAGTGAGTATATACCATGCCAGTATATGAGTGAGTATATACCATGCCAGTATATGATTAAGTATATACCACGCCAGTATATAAGTGAGTATATACCATGCCAGTATATACCATGCCAGTATATGAGTGAGTATATGCCATGCCAGTATATGAGTGAGTATATACCATGCCAGTATATGATTGACCATATACCATGCCAGTATATGATTCACCACATACCATGCCAGTATATGATTGACTATATACAATACCAGTATATGATTGACCATATACCATACTAGTGTATGATTGACCACATACCATGCCAGTGTATGATTGACCATATACCATGCCAGTATATGATTGACCACATACCATGCCAGTGTATGAGTGACCACATACCATACCAGTATATGATTCACCACATACCATGCCAGTATATGAGTGAGTATATACCATGCCAGTATATGAGTGAGTATATACCACGCCAGTATATGAGTGAGTATATACCATGCCAGTATATGAGTGAGTATATACCATGCCAGTATATGAGTGAGTATATACCATGCCAGTATATGAGTGAGTATATACCATGCCAGTATATGAGTGACCATATACCACGCCAGTATATGAGTGACTGACTGACTGACTGAGTTTGGTTTTACGCCGCTTTTAGCAATATTCCAGCAATATCACGGCGGGGGACACCACAAATGGGCTTCACTCATTGTACCCATGTGGGGATTCGAACCCGGGTCTTCGGCGTGACGAGCCAACGCTTTAACCAATAGACTACCCCACCGCCCCCCAGTATATGAGTGAGTATATAACATGCCAGTATATGAGTGAGTATATACCATGCCAGTATATGAGTGAGTATATACCATGCCAGTATATGAGTGAGTATATACCACGCCAGTATATGAGTGAGTATATACCATGCCAGTGTATGAGTGAGTATATACCACGCCAGTATATGAGTGAGTATATACAATGCCAGTGTATGAGTGAGTATATACCACGCCAGTATATGAGTGAGTATATACCATGCCAGTATATGAGTGAGTATATACCATGCCAGTATATGAGTGAGTATATACCATGCCAGTGTATGAGTGAGTATATACCATGCCAGTATATGAGTGAGTATATACCATGCCAGTATATGAGTGGGTATATACCATGCCAGTATATGAGTGACCACATACCATGCCAGTAAATGCGTGAGTACTTGCATGTGATTTTAAAATCGATTCCGTATTACATAGCTATGTCAAAATAGGCGTTTTCTATCCATGTAGGCCGCAGATGCAATAGCTGGTGTTAGCTGACTCACCACAAGTAATCACGTGGCAGAGAGTTGCGTCCCTTAGGCACGCCGGAAACCTGTGATTGTGGGTTCAAATCCCGGTTCTCCCTGGTTTTGTCAGCACCACACCGGTGTTTCACCAAATTGAATCATTTTGGACTTTCCACCTGCTAAAAGTCATCGACCACGCCCCGTTTCACAAAGCTATCGTAGCGCTACGACTGTCGTACCTCCTTCACTGTAATACAGACTTACGACAGTCGTAGCTACGATAGCTTTGTGGAACGGGGCCCTGAGTGGTAACTTGTCACGATAAGGCCACTTACATAGCGCTCATCTGCACTCCGCACGGGATGCTCTAAGATAATTGACATTATTACCCCGGATAACCAAAGCTGCCTGTAAGGCGCTTGAGGATTGATAGTCATATGACTTATCCCACCGGGTACCTTTTACTGTTGGTTGAACGGAGGCAATTTTGAACAAACTCACTTGCCTAAGATGCGACCACATTTGTGCTTCATTGTGGGTCTGGACAGAAGTCTAAGAAACTCTCAGGAATCAAGCTGCCAAACACGGTCACCCATCCAAGGACTCTCCGTGATCAAAGTTGCTTAACTGATTTGTGATCACCACACAGCCCCTTTTTATTGAAGTAAATATCTAAAGGCACACTTACTACCACTGTGCCAGCACTATGCAAGGAGACTTTTATTTAACGAATGGCAGAAGATATCGACCCATAGCATTTCAATATATTACTCACTTGACAAAGGATGACGTTGTACCAGAGTTAGGCAGTTTCACGTTTCTTCCATCTGTAGAATCGAACCCAGCTTGCGCAGGGACGTCGACAAGGTTTGGGCTCTCTTTCCCATCTCCCATAATCCACCCCATTCCATTGTCCAGATAGTAGAAAAACGCGAACGAGTCATATCCGTTTGACGCTAAGACAATCTGGAACGTGTTCACCTGCAGCGAGAAAGTTGATGTGCAGTGTCAGAAGGTTAGGCAGTTATGAATATTGATTCCGAGTATGACTAGCACGTGGTCTCTAAAATGAAAGCATATGACGATGTATTCATAGGGTTCAATTCCCAAAATGATAGTATGGGAAGCTCATTTCTGGAGTTCCCCGCCGTGATATTGATAGAATATTCCTAAAATCGGCCTAAAACCATACTCATACTCGGCGGGGACACCAGAAATGGGCTTCTTCACATATGTACCCATGTGGGGAATCGAACTGGGTTTTCGGCGTGACGAGCGAACACTTTAACAACTTGGCTAGCCCACCGCCGCTTAATACGCGTGCGACTGATGTCAGCTCTTGCCAGTTTAATCCCCATAGCTTTTATGTCTCGTTTATCTGGTTACTCGGCGATGTCCACCCGAGGATTCTATCTACCCGGGATTCTATCTACCTACCTTGTCGGACTTGCTGTTGTAGTAGCCGACGTTATCCCACGTTGTTATGAACAAAGACGTTGCTTCAAACAGGCTGTGACCCCGGAAGTGAGCTTGTACGTCGGTGCTTGCCCGCTGTAGTAACCCTGGGTCGTTTGTTTCTCTGAAAGATATCAGCCCATTTCCTGATTACAGATCTGACATTTAGTTTTATAATTTCACTCCTTTATGCTGAAACAAACCCCATATAGCCGTAGTCTTTGATAAAGTTGAATAAGTGAGTTTTGTTTTACGCAGCTGTTAGCAATATTCCAGCAATATTATGGACACCAGAAATGGGCTTCACACATTGAACCCATGTGAGGAATCGAACCCGGGTCTTCGGCGTGACAAGCGATGGCTTTAACCACTCGGCTACCCCACCGCCCCTGGAAGTGAGTGATAACAAGGCGGCTTTAAGCACTGTTCCAGCAGTATTCCGGCGGCGAGACACCATGGGCCTTACACATTGTTTATATTTTGGGAATCGAACACCGGCGTGACGAGCGAATGCTTAACCTACTAGGCTACCCAACCACTTAAAACCTGAATAAAAAATAAAGGGTCGAGTCTTAAAGACAGAGCCAGGATCATAATCGGGGGGAGTTTTGGATTAGGACACACGAAAGTTGTAAATATTGTGTTTATAAATGAACGTACTTTTAAGTACCGAATAAAGATTGCTTGACACACGAAAGCGGATCCTGTATAGATGAGTTGGGTTTAACGCCGTGTTTCACAGTATTCCAGTCATTTCACAGCTTAATGTAGAAGAAAGCACAAAGTGGTGCAGGCCTGGATCCCGATCAACAAAACGTTCGTACCGCTACGGCATTCGTAAGCCTATGATAAGCTATAGTTACGACAGGTCGTACGTTACGAACGCTTTGTTTATCATTTATCGGCATTGTGCTTTATTAAATAGGGCCCATGCAGGCACTCGTTGTGCGAAGCTATCGCAGCGTTGAGGTAATATTTTTACCATAAGCTTACACCAGCCGTAGCGCTAAGATCGCTTTGTGCAACTGGGCCCCATGGTGTATGAAGCACCGAATCACTAAAGACAACGTAACTATTTGTGATTAAACTTCCTCAGTAAAGTATGGATTCTAGAACTGTGTTTGAGTTGAGAAGGGATTTGAACCCATACTGTCAGAGTAGGCAACTTAATCGTCAGCACACAAAGTCAGCGATCTAACCCACTCAGCCATCGTCCGTGCAAGCCACAACACCTAACCTAGATCACGTACTTTGTGTACCCCTCTGTCAAGTGTACACGCATGCACTAAAGACGCTGACTATCCATATCACAAATTTACACATATCGACGACATTCAACCAGGGCAAGCTCAATTTACCTAAAAAATATATCCCCTGCTGCTGTGGTGTCGACATCGGCGAAGAAGGCAGCAATTATATCAAATCCTATAGGAAGTATTAGCGAAGGTCGGTAGACTGGCAGCTCCGAGTCGAATGATAAATGACCGTTGCTATTTATCTGAAACATAAGAACGTTGTTTATCATAAAACATAAACATAAATACTGGCGTCCGATAAAGAAGACCCAGATGATTTTTATATCATGTCAGGACTGAGATCGCGATGGAGTCGAAATATAACTTGATCACCAGGGGCCAGACCATTAAATATGCGATTTATGTGATGAGATTCGACGTCTTTTTAGGTCGGACTCCACTCCAGCAATAGTCCACAAGACCAAAGCGTTAACCCGTCGGACCAGAAACAGATCAACAGCATAAATCTGCGCGAATATCCATTCATCCAGGATTCAGGATCTTTGTCTGACGTATCCAACGAACTTCATGTTGACAGAGCAGCATCGAACAATCTGTTATTTTCGCTATTGCGTCGGTTCGATAATTCCTCGCTCTGCTACAGTTTCAGTCTGTGGCCTGGTTGTAATGTCACTCTAATGTCACTGTACTGGGTTGTACTTTAAATAACGTCCTGGTAATATCCAGCTTGAATATGTTCTGGTGGCCGTGTGATCTTAAGTAACCCATGCTTGTCGTAAGAGGCGACTAACGGGATCGGGTGGTCAAGCTCGCCGACTTGGTTGACACGTCATCGGTTCCCAATTACGTAGATCGATGCCCACGCTGTTGATCACTGGTTTGTCTGGTCCAGACTCGATTATTTACAGACCGCTGCCATATAGCTGGAATATTGCGGCGTAAAAGTAAACTCACTCACTCACTCACTCTGGTGGCTGTGAGACACAAGTATGATTGTGATTACAACTGTAATCACCTTGTTCTGTAAACGTGAATAATTGCTTGTTGTACTAACAGGGCATATCCACAAGCCGGAGGAACGACAACTGCAACATAACGCATGATATATTGTTTTCTCAAATATGTATGTATATCTACGTATATGATTTTGTTTGGTTGGTTTGTTGTTCAACGTCACACTCAGCAATATTCCAGCCATATGGCGGCAGTCTGTAAATAATCGAGTCTGCACCAGACAAACCAGTGATCAACACTGATTCAACATTGTGCCAGTGTTCATGGATCATATTTCCCGGTGAGTTGTTCGTAATTAAAACAAATCCTACTTTATATAGATGGGGTAATTTTCAGCTGAAGGATTCTCGACCAGACAGCAATGACAGAATATAATTTCTGTACATATACAGCTCCGGTATTTGAGTGAGTGAGTGAGTTAATTTTACGCCGCATTCAGCAATATTCCAGCCATATGGCGGCGGCCTGTAAATAATCAAGTCTGGACCAGACAATCCAGTGATCAGCAGCATGAGGATCGATCTGCGCAATTGGGAACCGATTCCGGTATTTGAACTCTGTTCCCGACAGTAGCCGAAGATGGCCGAGTCCAGCGATACCACTGACTGACTGAGTTTAGTTTTACGCCGCTTTTAGCAATATTCCAGCAATATCACGGCGGGGGACACCAGAAATGGGCTTAACACATTGTGCCCACCAGCGATACCAAGGCAAGGTTACAACCAATAGGGTTCCGTATGTTTATCAACTAGGACCCAAGTTGTGGAGAACTATGTTACCCCGGGATCCCCATGCCATGATGGGGTACAGAATCAACGTCCTACAGTGGAATGCGTCAACGCACAGTCAACAGCAAGGCCTTTAAGACAAGACATGTAAACAAGGAGAACAATAAGCTTGAAGACCGACACCACATGGGAGATACGACACGTGTTTAATTTTTACGACACACAGTAGATAGATAGGCAGGTGGACTAACGCATGAATATATATATAATTTTGATTGTAACAAATAAACCCATTTAAATTGAAAAGGAGCCCCAGGGAGACCAGAGATTCAGAACCTGGGGAAATCTAGACTTGATTCGTTTAGGGCTTTAGCATTGCAGGGAGGGCAGGCTGTGGGGAAGATAATGTGATTCAGGGACTATGAGACAGACTAATAGGCAGGCTAAATAATATACTGGTGTGATCAGTTCTCTGAAGCAATGGTTCAGCTCTTGAGATTGAGAAATGCGACGAGACAGCTCAAGAAGAATAGTTAAAGTCACCCAGCTCTACACCAACAGCTTAGCTACATGGGAAGAGATCTCAAGCATTTCGCCTGTCTGATAGATGAACACATAGAATGGCGTCATGTAGATGTTGGCAGGAGCAAAGTGTTCCGGAAGACTCGGTACCGACACGTGAGCTCATAAGCTGACAAACATAATCAGGCAGTTAATATATAATATTCAAAGCAACTATACACATTTAGTAATCACGTTTGCCCAACACATTTAAACTGGCAAAGCAAGTGGAACAGGTAGACTTGCGCTTAGTCTCTGACAATATGTAATTTTGATAGTAACAAATAAACCCATTTAAACTGAAATGGAGCCCCAGTGAGATAGGAGATTTAACCTGAGGAAATCTAGACTTTCTTCATTTAGGGCTTTAGCATTTCAAAGAGGGCTTGGCTGTAGGGAAAATAGTGTGGTTCGGGGACTGTGAGACAGACTAGTGGTTTAGGCAATTTCTTACAACCCAAACCAGAATTCTGTTGAAATATGTTTTTTAAATATTTTCTAGTATTGCCAATTACAAAATTACATTTTGGCTTTGGTACAGGGGTGTTTTATGTATAGAAATATGAAGGATTTAAGAGATTCGCACATTAGACTGAGAATAGTACAAAGGATCTAGTAAGAGAACAGTGCCCAGTTCAAGGAATGGCATCCGGGCGATCCCCTTCGAAATGACTCCAAAATATTGAAGCAAACAAGAAGACAGATATTTTAAGAGGGCCTCTTCATAAACAGCTTCCGGCAATCGTGATTACATCTGAAAGCCCGGTGATTATTTCTGATGCACCGTGTAGCTGTTGGGAGATAATTGTACGTAGTTTCAATGCAGGATATTCCGGACGTGCCCATTGATGTAGCGAGTACCCGGATGCAATAAACATTCAGCTGCGCTCATTACTCGAGACTGGATCTACATGGTGACTGCGCAACTCAAACTGTTCTGTAACCGTTTACAACTCGCCACAACTCTGATACCAGCATTATACAACACTCCACATTGCTGATATCAGCATTATACAACATCCGATATCTCTGATATCAGCATTATACAACACCCGACATTGCTGATATCTTCATTATACAACACCCTACATCTCTGATAGCAGCACTATACAACACCCGACATTGCCTGATATCAGCAGTTATACAACACCCTACATCTCTGATATCAGCATTATACAACACCCGACATTGCTGATATCTGCATTATACAACACCCTACATCTCAAATATCAGCATTATACAACACCCGACATTGCTGATATCAGCATTATACAACACCCGACATTGCTGACATCTGCATTATACAACACCCTACATCTCTGATATCAGCATTATACAACAACCGACATTGCTGATATCAGCATTCTACAACATCCGATATCTCTGATATCAGCATTATGCAACACCCGACATTGCTGATATCAGCATTTTACAACATCCGATATCTCTGATATCAGCATTATACAACACCCGACATTGCTGATATCTTCATTATACAACACCCTACATCTCTGATGGCAGCACTATACAACACCCGACATTGCCGATATCAGCATTATACAACACCCGACATTGCTGATATCAGCATTATACAACACCCGACATTGCTGACATCTGCATTATACAACACCCTCCATCTCTGATATCAGCATTATACAACAACCGACATTGCTGATATCAGCATTCTACAACATCCGATATCTCTGATATCAGCATTATACAACACCCGACATTGCTGATATCAGCTTTTTACAACATCCGACATTGCTGATATCAGCATTTTACAACATCCGATATCTCTGATATCAGCATTATACAACACCCGACATTGCTAACATCAACATGATACAACACCCATCAGCATGATACAAGACCCGACATCTCTGATATCAACTTTATGCAACACCCGACATTGCTGATATGAGCATTATACAACACCCGATATCTCTGATATCAGCATTATACAACAGTGTGAAGCACCCCAGGAGCGTCTGACGACAGGCAGCTAAGTAGAGGTGCGAGATAAGGTCTGCTGGAAGTGCTGAGGTTTCCGTTCTGCCGCGCAGTGTTTACTCACAGACGTACACACGTCAACGTTATCACAAACTGACACTCTATCGCGCTGTATGTACATAAACACACTCTAGCTGGGTAAGGAACTTTTAAACTTCAATGTCGGATCTCACAACGGTAAAGTCAAGCAATCAAGGATGTGTTGGTGTGGAGCCTTCGGGGTGAAAAATCTATCACTTTACAAACATACTTCAAGTTTAGACAATTCGTGGATGACAATGTATTCCACTGTCCATATGTCATCAACTATCCGTCACCATTTGTTGAATTGGAAGAACAAAGAAATCATTCACTGATGGAAGCTACGATTTAAATATAATTCCTCTATCGCCCATATTCCAATTCAGTGTCAGCTCAGGGTGCTCTGAGAGTCATATGACTGACAGCTTTGACCTCAAACACATCAATATATCAATACTTGATCATATTAGGGCTTAAACGGACGTGTAACATTGCATCCTATACGCTTAAAGGTTGAGCATGGTCTCAAGAAATCTCCCTGTGCTTCCCATTGGACGTAGGGAGTACGAATCCAGGAATGTTTGAGGTAGTATTACAACATAACAGTTTCATGAGTGAACCACTATTTTGTGATTGAAACAATGACACTGCCATCTTTAATAAGCACGAAGTATCCCACATACGAGGGGTCACTAAAAATGAAGGATGGACGGTACACTGAAACATTGTTTGCATGTATTAAGTACAATAAGTTCCATGTTTAGGCTTTATTATGCTCTTAGCGGCATATTTGGTCAGGCATCAATATGACCAGATACAGGACAACAACGGCTTCCGCGGTGCCATCATCATCAGGTATTGCGAACTGAAAGGTGAGGTGAGGTGAAATTTGGTTTAACGTCGTG